AATGCAGTACTCATTGTTGAAATCTACCACACGTACAAAAATACGACGCAAATAATAAGCCTCTCTTTGGATATATGTTCTCATAGCCCCCATTAAGCTCGCTCGCTCTCTCTCTCTCTCTCTCCCTTTCGGAAATGCATTTCATATTTGAGTGTGTCCCCCTTTTCGTGTATTTTTCTCTATATCCACACTATACATTTGCATTGTGGTTTATGCATTAATTTTCTTTTTTTTTAAACCATTTATTGTTGTTTTTATTTTCATAGTTTGGTTTGTTGTTTTTGTTTTCTCCTTCGGTTTATATCTCAACAAAATTTCTATGCGGTTGGTTTGTTTTTGTCGTGTAATTTCTTTGATTCTTTTCCATTTCAATATCTTAAAACGCTGAAGAAGACGACGCGACGGCGGGATGACAATCGTGGTTGCTCGAAACTATGCTGTTATTGTTGGCGTTGCTTCTTCATATCGTTTGTGTGTTTTTTTTTCTTTGCTGCAGTGGTAGTAAATAATGTGAATTAAAAGAAATACCCATATTCTTATTGTACGGTACTTTATTTTTCATAAAATCTTCAACACAGTGGATCATGAATAGAGGAACAATAACCTAAAGAATGTCTATATGTAAGCACTTTCTTTTCTGTTCGTCTAAGAAACTTCTATCCGATATACCTATACATATACAGGGCGAGATGAAAAAACTGCATCCAACTTCAGACTGCTGTCATGTCTAAACCACTCGTGTGACAGCTGTTAAAATTATTCCAGTTGGTGAGAATTTTCAAGAACAAAAAAATTCATGATGGAATTCAAGCGTGATAGTGAGATTTGTTATAGAAAATGTCTCGTGAGCTGAACATATCGCAATATTCCATTCGGCAAATATTGAAAAATGAGTTCGGGGTAAAGCCATTGAAATTCCAAAGAGTGCAAGAACTTACACCGCAACAGAAAGAAAATAAACCCAAAAGAGCTGAAGAGTTTCTTCGTTTGGCTGAGAGTGGTGAACTGCCGAATTTGGTTTTCTTCGATGAGAAAACATTACTGTCCATCAGTTTGCAAACAAACAAAATGACCGTGTTTACTTGCCAAAGAGGTCAGCTGAAAATGTGCACCTTTGGTTGGCAACCAGAACTCCCCGCTCGTATTAATCGACAGAGGTATCAGAATAAATGCCGAATATTATCGCGGAAATATTTTGGTCGCAGACCTTGGACATTCCTAAAGGACTCAGCACTATCGCACTCAGCACTATCGCACTCAGCATGCGCCTCCCAAGAATGGTTGTAAAATGAGGTTCCTCGCTTCAATGGCCACCAAAATCTCTGGATACCAATCCCTTGGACTATTGTGTCTGGAGTATTTTGGAAAGCAAGGTTGGCACTAAAAAATACCAAAGTGTCGATCACCTCAAGCAAGCGCTTCGCCGGGAATGGGCCAAAATACCGCAGAGCAACATTTGAAGGCCATAATTCGAGCCCAAGGTGACCAATTTGAACAAATCTAAACTTGTTCTACAATTTGATACTGTTTCCGACATATTTTTGCTTTTATTCAATAAAATTTAAAAAAAAAATGTAAAAATTATGGAGTTTGACTTTGTTGCAGTTTTTTTTTATCTCACCCTGTACTTCCTTCTATGCACGCTTATGCATACTCCCATCTGTGGACATCTGAAAGCTTATAGAAACTTCCTTTCCCTAGGCCTCTGTAAATACTCACTTCTACAGGTGCCAAATAACCTATCTCGACGATCGACATTAAGTTTTCTAAACGGTAATCACATCTGAATGTGGGCCATCCTTATGGACCTATTTTCTCTGGCGCCTTTGAGTGGTTTACTTTGAACTTCTAACCCACTGTGCCTCAGTTACCTTTACGTTTTACGTTTGTTTCTCCCTTTGTCGACATTCGAGCTTAGCTTGGTCATTGTTTTTTTTTTTATTTTCGTAATAGGTGTGTATTTTGTTGGGCAGTCTGACCAGATGACTGACTAACTGACTACTGGGGCGTCAAAGGTATACGCGCTGGTATTGAGTCTGGGGTGTCACACTTACACGACGTTGTCGTTCGGGTATCGCCTACAGTTTCTTTATAAATTTCTTGTCTGGTTTTTCCAATAGCCACCACAACCAGCACGACCGCATCAGCCTCGGATGCAACCACATGGTGGTGATGATTTGCTGCACTGCACGTATTCCAGCCATACATCACGTCAAACTGTTTGTTGTCAGTCCATAGGTCGTTTGGTCGGTCGCTAGGCCTGCTTGCCTGCATGTTGTAAGACAGTTTTGTTTTTTTTTTTTTTTTTGTTTTGTTTTTCCACATTTTCTTCGATTTTTAGTTGTTTCCACTCAATTTGTTGTAATACAACAACAGCAACCGAATTGAGTGTTCTTTTGTGTTTTATTGGTCGACGTTGTCGTTTACATTGGTTGGTAGATATTTTCCTGTTTTAATTGAGGTCATCTCTGATAATGACCCATTCTTCGATAATGTTGGATGAGTTGGTCTCTGGTGTGTTTTTTTTTTTTTTTTTTGGATTCCAAACATGTTTCTTTTTTGGCTAATTTAAATTTCGAACACAACTGGAATTGAATAATTTTCCTTATTTCGGCGCAGCAAAGAAACCTAAAAGTGTCAATATTTTTTTGTTCTTGATGTCTCCGAATATTTAAATTTAATGGTTTGTTACGACAGTTTAATTGTGTCCTAATTCTGCCCCAGTTGCCTGTCGAATTTTCTTGGTTTGCGTTCCGAGAAGAAGGTTGGAAAATAAACGGATGAAAGAAGTTGGGATTTCAGGAGTAGATAACGATTTTTCAGGGTCTTTTATATGAAACCTTCCAATGTAAAGACCTCAGCTTCTACTATGAGAACGATCTAAGGGTCTTCTATAAGCAGACCTTAGGGTCTTCTATGAGAATATTTCAAGCTCTTCTATTAGATGACCTTCGGGTCTTCCATGAGAAGATCTCAGAGTCTTGTAGGCGAAGACCCCAGGGTCTTCTGTGAGAACATCTTACGTCCTTAGTCGGATCTCACGGTCTTCTTGAGAATATCCCAGAAGAAGACTGTAGGGTCTATCAGAATAGCTCAGGGTCTTCAAGGCGAATAGCTCAGGTTCTTCCATGAGAAAAGTCATCCGGGTTTTGTATGAAAAGACCTCCAGGTCTTCTATGACTTTCGGGTCTTCTGTAAGAAGACCTTGGATCTTTTTGCTCCTTCAATCGGATCTCATGATTTTATATGAGAAGACCTCTGAAGAAGATCGCAAGGTCTATGTGAATAGCTTACGGTCTTCAAGGAGAAGGCCTTTGGGTCTTCAAGAAGAAGACCTGCAAATTTTCTATGAGAAGACATTCATGTCTTCTGTGAAAAGAGCTCCGAGTCTTCTCTGAGAAGACGTCCGGGCCCTCTATAAGAAAACCTTAGAGTCTTCTATGACAAGATCTCAGGATTTATGAAAAGATCTCATGGTCTTCTATGATAAGGCCTTATTACCATCTAAGTGAAGACATTAGGGTCTACGATGAGAAGACATAAAGGACTTATATAAGAAGATCGCCGGATCTTGTGTAAGAACACTTGAGGGTCTTCTTTGTAAAGACCATAGCTTCTTCTATGAAAAGACCCAAGGGTCTTCAATAAGAAGACCCCTGTGTCTTCTAAGACCACATGCAGTGAGAAGGCCTTAAGTTCTTCTATAAGAAGACCTCATGGTCTTCGTTAGGAATAATTCTGAGTCTTCTTTAAGAAGACTTCTGGGTCTTCTTTCAAAAGATATATGGGTCTTCTTTGAGAGGACTTCTGAATCCTCAGGATTTTCTTCTGTGGGAAGACTTCACAGTCTCAGGTTCTTCTTAGGGTTCTCCTCATGGTTTTCTTTTTTGAGAAGACCTTACAGTCTCAGGTTCATCTTCTGTGAGAAGACCTTGCAGTCTCAGGTTCTTCTTTATGAAAACCTCGAAGACTTCCATGAGAAGACCTCAGGACGTCTATGGAAATATGGTGTTTTATGAAAAGTTATCAGGTTTTCAATGATATCACTTCCCGGTCTTTTATGAGGTGGCCTTGGTGTCTTCTATTACCGACCTAATTTTTTGGGAATTATTGCTAAAACGTACTGTACTATCAATACTTATGTACATATGTACACATGTACGTACATAAAATTGCATTAAGAGCAGATATTATGTTGTCTGGCTTGGCCTGGCAAATAATACACAAACGCGCCAGCCAACCAACCAGCCATTCATCCATTCAGCAAACAAGCAAAGCGATAAGTAATAAAACAATTCAAACTTTCACCGCAATCAAAATGTAGACTCCATCAAGTGTAGCATACCTTCCCATAAGAAATAATCAAAGAAAAAGCAAAACAACAAAAAAGACGCAAGGAAAAATAACAAAACAAAGACAAACAAAACAACAAAATTAATGCTTTTTAGGTTTTGTCGACGTTAAGTAAAAACAAAACAATGGCATTACTGAAAAACAGAGAGAGAGAGAGAAAAAATAAAATCCCTCATTTGTTTGTGATCAAAGGTTGGTTGGATTGCTGGGCCCCATGTGTTGTTGTTATTGTTACAATAGAAATCAATTGAGTTTCTTTAGGGCTGTGGTGGGATTTTGTTTTTCTTCTTTTTTAAATATAAAAACTAATATAATAACAAAGAGAGCCACCCGTTTAATTGTTTTTGCTTCATTTCCACCACCACGAATCTCATTGCTCTTGCTCATTCATTTGCTGAGTGATTTCCCCACTCTATTTTGCGGATATCTCTCTGATGAGTTGTTGTTTTTGTTGCCTGGCATGTTGTGTAAAACGGTAGTGGTGGCATGGTGAATTTTATGGTTTCTTTGTGAATACCCTGCCAGCTTTGTTGCTTTGTTCGCGTTCAACCTACCACACCTTCTCCTGCTCCCATCTGTGTGCGCCGTTGTGTGGTGGTGTTGGATTTTTTCAACGATACGCCAAGCAGCCAACAACATTTCATATGAATTCTGCCATTTAGTCGTAAACGAGTGCTTGGAGACTTCACATATTGGAGGATCAAATCCACGTCATAACTTGCATTGGCAAAATATCTACTGCTCTACTGTGTGAGAATACAGGAGAAGAAGAAATAGAAAAAAAGTGAAATACCATACAAAAAATTTGATTTTTCCTCCATGGGTGTTTTTTCATGTGGAATATAGGAAACAAAGCAAAATAATACAAAAATCATAGTGTGTGAAAACAAGAAATTGTATAGAGAAGAAATTTTTGGTGGAATAGAAAAAAATTACTGGATTTAATTAAAATCCACACACACACGCACGCAAAAAAAGTGACCATTTGTGTTTGGAGAAACCTTAAAAAATTAAAACGTAAAAAAACCTGAATTGTCATTTGAAAAAAAAAAATAATAAATTATAAAGTGGCAAAAATATTTTTCCCTTCAAAAGTCTCGCTGAGAAGACAAAAAGCAAAGAAAACGCCAACTCTGTACTAAAATGGTGGTGATTCACTGACAAAAGAAAAACGGAGAATTGTCAAATAGAAAAAAAGTATTTTTTTTTGTATGTGAAAGTGCAAGCAAAAGGATAACTGCAGCAGCACATTGTTTTTTTACTTCCAAACAAAGGATAACAACTTGAAAATTAATTGTGATATTTTTTGGTTTTACCCAGAACCAATCAACATTCTTATACGAGTGCAATTTTTAATGCTTTAAATTAAAAAGTAAAACAAGAAAAAAAAGGATACAAACCAACCAATCATCTCCACACCAACGCTACTCCATTAAAATTAACAAAGTGTGTTTGGTTAACAAGGCAAACGAAGAATTAAAAGGATTAACTCTCTCTTTCCCACTTGCTGCAATAACTGTGATTTTTCTTGGATTATTTTTCCTGCTGCACACACCTAAATTTTGAAAAAAAAAAAAGGATTTAATTCTTTACTGCAGTTTAACACAAAAAATGTAAGTCTTCCTACCATTTAAAGAAAATATTTAAGTAGAGAAAACAGTGTTGGTAAACGTTTCCCCATTTTGCTGCTCATGGTGAGATTTGTTTCTTATTCAACTGACAATGCCAAAGCAAAGCAAGCAATGTTGTCAAATTTCCATTTCACTACACACGATTTATACACGCACCAACACACATAGCCATTACTTCTCTGCCTTTTGCTCTGCTCTTTTTTAATGTGACGCTGTATGTTTTTGTGTTTGGTGTGCGTGTGTGCTGTGTTTTTAGTATAGTTAGCAGCATGTTATATATCTCTTTGGGCTTTGGGCACAGTGATGCTAATTCGGTGTTTTTTTTTTGCGATTGGAATTATTTTTTAGCATGTGATTTAAAAGAGAATGGGTATATTTTCAAAGATATAATTCAGGATTTAAACTCTAAACAGAGTAAATATCAATTGAAATCCCCGGTCTCTACAGATTTCTATTTTTTTTTGCTCTGTTTAGAGTCTAAAATCCCGAATGAAATATTAAAAAACCAAGTCGAAGAAAAATGTGCCCCTATAACATTCATCTTCCTATTTTATTTATAATTGCAGATGTTCTCTCACGATATTTTCTGCCCCATGACAGCTCCAGTTATGTTCTATATCTTAGATGAATTTTTTGAATTTTTATTTTTTTTAGAACATTCTGAGAATATAATATTTCGAATCACATCAAATTCCGTGGGAAATTTTGACTAAAGCTTCTTTGTGGACTAAATGCGATATATTGCATTTAATATCGAACTGTTTTCAAACTTCTTACCGAAATGTTTAATTAAATCAAGCCAAAATTCATGAATTAAAATTAATTTTATGGTAACTCTGGTGATAATTTTACCCAATACGAATAAGGAATTTTAAATAGTTAATAAATTGTTCAATTTGAAACCTAATATATATGAAAAGGTTGGGAAAATAATAAGAATTATGTTTTGTATGAAAAATAAGCCACAGCGGACAATTTACGTTGTGTTGTTCATTCTCTGAAAACTAGGTATGACAATAGCATTTAATTTGATTAAAAATCGTAATTGACGATTCGAAAGTAAACACGAAAACACAAATTCGTCATCAGAAATAAGTCCCTAAAAATTTTCGAATTTTTAAAATAAATTAACTTTAAAAAAAAATAAAAAATATCTAAAAGACAAGTACAACACCCAGACTAGAGCTGAAAGAGGAAATATATTGTTACATACAGGGTGAGATAAAAAACTACAACAATGTCAAACGCCATAATTTTTACATCTTTTTTTTTACATTTTATTCAATGAAAGCAAAAAATGTCGGAAATAGCTTCAAATTTTAAAATCAATTTAGATTTGTTTGGTCACCATTGGCACCAACCGAAGGTGCACATTTTCAGCTGACCCCTTTGGCAAGTAAACACCATCATTTTTATTCTTTACAAACTGCTGGACAACGAATATTTTCTCATCGGAGAAAACCAAATTCGTCAGTTCACCACGAAATAACTTTTTAGCTCTTTTCAATATATTTTCTTTCTGTTGCGGTGTAAGTTCTTGCACTTTTTGGAATTTCAATGGCTCGGGGTAAGCTCATTTTTCAATATTTGCCGAATGGAATATTGCGATATGTTCAGCTCACGAGCCATTTTTCGGCCACTGCGTCGCGGGTTTCCATCAAGTCGCTTTCTTACTTTTCGCACAATTTATGCTAATGCTAATTTTAAAAGCTGTCGGACGAGTGGTTTAGAAATGACAGTAATCTGAAGTTGGTTGCAGTTTTTTTCATCTCACCCTGTATTTAGAATTGGGAAATATTTTTTATATTACAAAACAAATTAAGATTAGTTATTGGTATTGTGTAAAATTTTCATAATCCGTAATTCATTTAAAAAGGAGTAGATGTTCCAAAAGCTCTTCTATATATTAGAAATTACTTTTGCTTAAAAAATGCTCGAAAACTATGAAATTTTAACTTTTCTTTATGGAATTTGTAAATTAAATTATTTGGGCTTATATTATGTCTTTTTTTGTATTATTATACGCCCATTAATTCCTAAATATATATATTTTTACTACCTTGCAACTCTCAAAAATCTACCAACTACAAATTGTTACTTCTTTTTCTACCAAAATAGATAGCAACACTGATCTCGGGTGTGTTTGTTGTATTTGTAACTGTTTGGTGACGTTATATTTTTACGTTGCTGCTCTGCTCTCTCTCACTCTTTACGAAAGGTGGTACTCTTTGAAAAGAAACAAAAAAAACTGTGGGAAGAGCAGGAAGGTATGTTGTGTGTTTTTGTTTTTCGCGTCTTCTTCTTCCTTCCACTGTAAATAATAGCAGTCTGGCAGTAGCCAAGCAAATGATTTTGTTGTTTTGTGTTAACTCCACCAGAAACGTAGACGAAATGAAAAGTAATAGGAAAAAGTCAGCCAACAAAGTAACCTTCCATCCGCAGTATGTACGCCCCCCGCCCGCTCGTATGGGCATCAGCAGGAAAAAAAACAAACAAGCACCGTCAGAAGCCATTGTTCACATATGGATGGATGGGTGGATGGACAGACAGACGAATACACCAACACAACACATTGCAAATGACAGCAATATGCTCTGCTGCTGGGTAATGGAGTAAAATAACATTAAAGCAACAACAACAACGAAACGTGTGAATGCTAGTTACTGTGTATTTTTTAGTTTCTCCTCTTATTTTGCCAGAAAGAAACAAAATAATTAAATTTTGCATTTGTGTTTTAAAAAGCTTGGCTTAAATTTGTTGTTTGTATGCAAAAAACATTTCATGGAAATATCTGGAAAATAATTTTAAGTGGAAATGTGAAAACTTAAACTATAGAAATATATTTTTTTTTAATTTGAGTTATATTTTTTAATGCTCTTAACATTAACACATGTTCTCCCTTTCCCTTTGGTTTTAAATTTTCTTTGTTATCATCCATATATCCATTCCCACTGCTGCATAACTAGTTTTTCCCCATTCTTATTTGCCCTCTGTTTGGCTTCGTTCTTTTTATTTATTCTATTTTACTTTTGTATTAAACAAAAAAACCCATGATTTGGCTATATTTTGAGAGAGAGAGTCTAAAAACTGGTGAGAAACGGAGCGAGAGAGAGCATCATAAACTTGTGTTATTTACTTTGTGTTGTATTTGCCATGTCAAACTCTCCACAGAGTGGTGGTGGTGTTCTACGGCAATAAGCCACAAGCCACCAGTGTTCAAAAGTGCATGACTCAGGGTTGGTATTTTTTAATTAACCAACCATAAGAAAATAACAATATTGCATGAAGCATTCAAAAATGAAGAAATAATTGTTAAGTTATTTTTTTTTCTTTCTTGTTTCTTTTTTTTTTAAGTATAATGTGAGTTTCTCCTTGTTGTGAAATAGTATTTAAAAAATTAACACACTGGCACATGAATCGGGGTTTATGACGTAAAATCGTTGGTAGGGTACACACTGTCGAACATGTTGACCAGCGTGGCTTACATTCGTTTGCTGTCAATGTGAAACAATTATGGATTTCGAAGAGAAAAAGTGAAAAATATGTTTATATACTTCAACATGTTTTAATAGAAAAACACGTCATTTATATTGTGAATCACCGAATGTCTCCTCAAATCGTTAAATCACAATCCTTTGCCATTATCGTTGTACTTTATGGCTTTTAGAATTGCTGACTTTTAGAAATTAAATTTCGATTTTGAAGTCATAGATTTTTAAATTATCTGTTTTTTAAATAATCTGTTTTTTCTTTCCACTTTGACATTAGACCCTGAAATTCGAGCGACATTTTTTTTAGAAAGTCTACAGGATTTTTTAATGTAATTTTTACATTAGTTCTTAATTTTATTGAATGAAAGTAAAAATGTCGGAAATAACATCAAATTTTAGAATAAGTTGAGATTTGTTCGAATGGGTCGCCTTTGGCACGAATTATGACCTTCAAATGGCCAATGAAACCGCCACATGCTGACCCAAATGTTGCTCTGCGGTATTTTGGTCCATTTCCGGCGAAGTGCTTGCTTGAGGTGATCGACACTTTGGTATTTTTTAGTGCCAACCTTGCTTTCCAATAAACTACAGACACAATGTGCGCTGGAAATGAAGCGAGGAACCTCATTTTGTGACCATTCGTGCTGAGTGCGATGGTGCTGAGTCCTGTTGGAATGTCCAAGGTCTGCGGCCAAAATGTTTGCGTGCCCACGGGCTTGAATACATCCTCCAGACATTTTCAGCTGACCTCTTTGGCAAGAAAACACGATCATTGTGTTTGTTTACAAACTGCTGGACAACGAATGTTTTCTGATCGGAGAAAACCAAATTCGGCAGTTCACCACTTTCGGCCAAGCAAAGCAACTCTAGCTCTTTTCCGTCTATTTTCTTTCTGTTGCGGTGCAAGTTCTTGCAATTTTTTGGAATTTCAATGGCTTTACCCCGAGCCCAATGGAAAATTGCGATATGGAAAATTCTCACCAAAATGTTTTTGTACGCTTGTAAACAATATAATAATTTTAACAGCTGTCGGACGAGTGGCTTAGAAATGACGGCAGTCTGAAGTTGGTTGCAGTTTTTTCATCTCACCCTGTATTAAGAAATTTTTAAATTTACTATCGCAAAGCAGTTTTTTCTTCAATTAACTTAACTTGTATAAGTAGTTACTAATAAGTTAAGTGTCTCTCTATAACAATTTTCTTCCATTTTCCCTCAGGTTTTCAAGGATATTTATTGTTTATAATAAATATTTTACAATTTGTTTACAGGAAATTCATTTTCCTTTTTCGTAAATAGACTAGGTGGCTGACTGACTGCTTTGACGAGCAAATCTTGTTTATTTGTGGTGTCTTGCGGCTGTGCCAGCCACCCTGCCAGCATCTCTCAGTAGAAAAATAAACAATATTTTTGTTTGTTAATTTGCTGTCTTTCTTTTTCTTTGTATTTTTTGAAATTTCATAAAAGCATTTCCGCGAAAATTTCATAATACAA